CCTTACAACATGACAATAGACTTAAATCTACCTTACAACATCACAATAGACTTAAATGTACCTTACAACATGACAATAGACTTAAATTTACCTTACAACATGACAATAGACTTAAATCTACTTTACAATATGACAATATACTTAAATTTACCTTACAATATGACAATAGACTTAAATCTACTTTACAACATGACAATAGAGTTAAATATACCTTAAAACATGACAATAGACTTAAATCTATCTTACAACATGACAATAGACTTAAATATACCTTAAAACATGACAATAGACTTAAATCTACCTTACAACATGACAATAGACTTAAATCTACCTTACAACATGACAATAGACTTAAATCAACTTTACAACATGACAATAGACTTAAATCTATATTACAACATGACAATAGACTTAAATCTACCTTACAACATGATAATAGACTTAAATCTACTTTACAACATGACAATAGACTTAAATCTACTTTACAACATGACAATAGACTTCAATCGACCTTACAATAAACAATAGACTTAAATCTACCTTACAACATGACAATAGACTTAAATCTACTTTACAACATGACAATAGACTTCAATCGACCTTACAACAGACAATAGACTTAAATCTACCTTACAACATGACAATAGACTTAAATCTACTTTACAACATGACAATAGACTTAAATCTACCTTACAACATGACAATAGACTTCAATCGACCTTACAACAGACAATAGACTTAAATCTACCTTACAACATGACAATAGACTCTTAAATCTACTTACAACATTACAATAGACTTAAATCTACCTTACAACATGACAATAGACTTAAATCTACTTTACAACATGACAATAGACTTAAATCTACCTTACAACATGACAATAGACTTAAATCTACCTTACAATATGACAATAGACTTAAATCTACCTTACAATATGACAATAGAGTTAAATCTACTTTACAACATGACAATAGAGTTAAATATACCTTAAAACATGACAATAGACTTAAATCTACCTTACAACATGACAATAGACTTAAATATACCTTAAAACATGACAATAGACTTAAATCTACCTTACAACATGACAATAGATATAAATCTACTTTACAACATGACAATAGACTTAACTCTACCTTACAGCATGACAATAGACTTAAATCTACTTTACAACATGACAATAGACTTAAATCTACCTTACAACATGAAAATAGACTCAAATCTAAAAAAATGACTTTTACCTCTTAGTAGTATTTACTAGCTGACGTATCTATTCAACACACGGGGAAAACATGAGGATCCCCAGGGGTGACATAGAGGACCAGATCAGAACGCCGAACTTCCTATGTCACTCCATGGGGACCCTAAGGGTAGATGTCAGGGTTGATGACAATCGGTCTAGCGGTTCGCCAATTATAAGCGCGCGCACGCACACACACCCCTGGATCCTCATTTCGCACCCTTGGTTTATATGAAGATACCATAGAAGGTCTGAAATAGTGCGAAATAATTGCAAAAAATCTTCAGATTAGTCTACATCTCTCATCACTTCTACATCTTTTGCGACAGTCAACTTAAGATTGCAGCTTGTTCACTGAGTTACTTAATACAAAGGGTACCTTAAATATGTTATTTCTGTGCCCCACTAAAATTCAATTAGCGTTACCAAAAGAGTTGCTTAAAGAAGAAGTTTTATGTCAGTTTTGTAACAAACACAGGAGCTACCTGATTTATAGGAAGAGGACCCCCCTTGCACCTGATGATGACATAAACTTGTCGAAACGTTGTTCAAGTTTCTTTCACTACCCATTTAATTAGAAATAATTCATCTGAATATATATATTCAAAAAAGTCAAGGGCGATAGGAAATGTCTACCCTACGGTTACATTTTGAATATATTAACTGTAATGTAACCGTAAGGTAGACATTTCCTATCGCTGAATATATTAACTGTAATGTAACCGTAGGGTAGACATTTCCTATCGCTGAATATTTTAACTGTAATGTAACCGTAGGGTAGACATTTCCTATCGCTGAATATTTTAACTGTAATGTAACCGTAGGGTAGACATTTCCTATCGCTGAATATTTTAACTGTAATGTAACCGTAGGGTAGACATTTCCTATCGCTGAATATTTTAACTGCTGCCACAAAAATATTATATTTAGTTGATGTAGTTCATGTTCGTTTCTGTCACTAGGACATAAATAATACAAAGCTATGAGTGTATATTAAAAACAAAACTGAGTATCTCGTCTCATATTTGACTTTTCAGATCACAAACGCCATGCGATTGAGTAGTATGCATTTCCATCGTACTTCAGATCAACCATATTTACAGTGCTAGTATTATTTACAATCGAAAGACCCACTCAAGATATGAATAATCAACTAGCACACAACATCCACTTAGGATACAGAGATTTAGCTGTTCCTTTACGGTTGTTTCTGTTTTAACATTAAACCCGAACAGTACAAATCTTCTATGAATCCGTCTCAAGATCGATCAAACTAAAACAGAGTTATTGTGAAAGGAAACAAGTAGCGAAAAACAAAAAAATTGTAGATACTATAAATTGTTTTGAAAGTAAAATTGTGTTTGTAAATTCAAATAATCTTTAACTCATAAAATATTTTGCATATCTAATAATTCTGTAAATGTAGATTTAAACACGGTAATGCTAAAGTGGCACTAGCCGGCCCTAATTTAGCAGTGTAAGACTACGGGGAAGGCAGCTAGTCATCACCACCCACCGCCAACTCTTGGGCTACTCTTATACCAACGAATAGTGTGATTGACCGTCACATTATAACGCCCCCACTGCTGAAAGGGCGAGCATGTTTGGTGTGACTGGGATTCGAACCCGCGACCCGTAGATTGCGAGACGAGCACCCTGGCCATGCCGGGCAATAATGTTAAAACTATTCTAATTTATTCAAGACAAATGTTGACTACTTCCTGCTATTGTTCGATCTTAGAAATAAATGTTTTAAATTTGTTCTGCTCTGCTAATTTCTTTTTCATATAAGAGCACGGTGTTTCTCGATAATTTCAAAAATGATAATAGCGATTACAAATATATAACAAACTTTTAACATATTGCAAGGAAATAAAAATAAATCATAACTTTATCTCAAACTCCTTAACTTTAATTTGTAACTATTATCATCACGAGTACATATAATACGAGTTATGAGCTTCGAGTTAAAGTGTAATGACAGGAACTGACAATGGATAGCTTTCTTTCATTACTGTCATAACACAAATCCCGGTTTTGTTTTTTATACCAACTTTCATCATCATTATACAGTGTTGATTTTTATCGCCTATAATATTTCTGACGTAATTTATAGTATTAGTACTATTTACTTTCTTATATACGAGAATTAACATTTTCCTTTTTGCTAATTATAGCAGGATACCGAAATGCTTTGTTTAAATTTATTATTCGTATTTCAGTGATTGTGATGTGTGCTTCTCCAAATACCGTGAGAGAGATTCTATTGGCAGCAGAAGAGTTAAACATGGTCGATAAAGGAGAGTACGTGTTTTTCAGTACAGAACTCTTCACCAGGTAATGGTTACGATAATAACTTTGTGAAGTCAATTACATATTTACTCATATTTATTGGTAATTGCCTTTCTCTAAAAGGATATAAAATGAAAACTTAATAGTTATATGATTTTGTAAAATATGTGCATCTTCATATATATATATATGTGATATATACGTCTGTTTATGTGTTCTATCTATTTTGTAAAATATGAGCATCTTCATATATATATATATGATATATACGTCTGTTTATGTGTTCTATCTATTTTGTAAAATATGTGCATCTTCATATATATATATATATGATATATACGTCTGTTTATGTGTGCTATGTATTTTGTAAAATGCCTGTAGCTTCTATGTTCTAGTATATTTATGATACAAGTTTTGTGATTATATATTTATCTTAAATACATGCATAGTTATATGGAATATTCGGTGGTTATGCGATTTTGAAAAATTAGCTATTCTCTTTTTTATATCTAGTATAGTTATATAGAAAACTCAGTGGCTTTATTTTTGTAAAATCCGTGTATTTCCCTAATATTCTGGCATAGTTATATAGAAAACTCGGTGGTTTTATTTTTGTAAGATCCGTGTATTCCCCCAATATTCTGGCATAGTTATATAGAAAACTCAGTGGCTTTATTTTTGTAAGATCCGTGTATTCCCCCAATATTATAGCATAGTTATATAGAAAACTCGGTAGCTTTATTTTTGTAAGATCCGTGTATTCCCCCAATATTATAGCATAGTTATATAGAAAACTCGGTAGCTTTATTTTTGTAAGATCCGTGTATTCCACAATATTATAGCATAGTTATACAGAAAATTTAGTGGCTATATAGTTTTGTTATTTTTATAAAATATGTGTATCCCCTATATTATAGCGTAGTTATATAGAACATTTATTGACAATATACATTTATAAAAATCTCCTTTTGTAGCCATACTAATAATTTTCTAATTCGTCAATTCTGTTTTCATTTCGTTGTTTCACTAAGCTGGATTCCTTATTATCTTTCATTATTTTCCACGAGCAATTTCGTAAATATTCACCATTTATTGTATATACAGTGACGTTACAGACAATGTAAAGGTTAGCACTAGTTTGTACTTGAAATATATATATATATATATTTCCTGTAAACATAACAAATTCCCTTATACATTGTCAAGTCTCAAGTAACCCTAAATGTTCCACAGGATTCATAGTGACGTCACAGGCAGTGTAAAAGTTAACACTTATTTGTGCGTGATATATACATATGTATTTCCTGTGAATACAACAAATTCTTCTATACAGCGTCAAGTCTCGAGTAACCCTAAATGTTCCACAGGATTCATAGTGACGTCACAGGCAGTGTAAAAGTTAACACTGATTTGTGCGTGATATATACATATGTATTTCCTGTGAATACAACAAATTCTTCTATACAGCGTCTAGTCTCAAGTAACCCTAAATGTTCCACAGGATTCATAGTGACGTCACAGGCAGTGTGAAAGTTAACACTGATTTGTGCGTGATATATACTTACGTATTTCCTGTAAATACAACAAATTCTTCTATACAGCGTCAAGTCTCAAGTAACCCTAAATGTTCCACAGGATTCATAGCGAAGCTTAAAATAGAATAACTGACTGTTCCTATAGAAAATGGTATACGTTTCAGTAACTTTTTATTAATATAGCAGTATTAGAAGTTATTATTCATAAATTGTTGTGATGATTTAGAATATCCTGAATGTGCAATTCATCTGTAGAAAATTTTGGCTCCAGAAATGAATCTTTATTAAAGAGTGACTTGTGAAGTTCCAAGAATCCAGAGTGGATTGGGGATTACATTACTGCTAATATTTGTATCAACTATAAATTCAGTTCTAATTTTTTTCTTTTTTTCTTTTTGTCGTTGTGTCTTGTTTTTTGCAAAGCAATTCACTGAATGGGACTCTAACCCAGGACCCGCAGATTGCGAGTCGAGCACTCTAACCACTGAGCCTTTCTATTTAGTTTAGAAAGGGGTTCAACTTATGGATACCCTGTATTGAAAAGCACTTTATTGTTAAGCGTATAGAGAGTAGTTTCAGTGAAAAATTAAAAAGAGCACGTAATAGCGAATATTCTTAGTTTTGTGTAGACGTTGTCAACAAAGGCTTTAATGACCCTCACTATCAAGAATTAGCTTAGTAACCTTTAAACTCGCGCAATGTTATCTGTGCGTAGTATGAAATATCCACTATTTGATTCATATATCTTGTTATTTTACATTATTTAACAATACCCTTTACACGGTGTAAAATCGAGGATAAGAAACAAAACAAAGGATGTATATTGCTTGATTAAGAAACACGACGAGTGATTAAACATTCAGATTGTCGTCCTGGTTTATGAAGCTTAACCTACAACTTAATAGCGGTATTCATGTAACTACATCTTGAAACTTATTCTGCTAATCGGTAAAGGAAAAGATGATGGCTAATTCAGGATCAATTATGAATGTGAATCCACGTATTTATTGAATATTAGCCGTACTTCAGCATTGAAGAAAGTTCACGAAAACCAATAGTCCCCATCATTATCCATTATAGCAGATTCACGACTAGTTACAATGATTTTATTGGAGTTTCGGAAATACGTTCTGACCAATCACCTCCTTTCAAAGTGCTTCGTTAAGTTTCAATTCAGAGATAGAACAATGTAGATTTTTAATCGCAATACGAACGATAAAGACGAAAAGACAGATTTTTAAATTATTCATTAGCCCTAACGATTGTGCTAAATGCAGAACCGACAGCCAGCAACTACAGCTCCATCATGAGAGGTAGCCCTACAATATGTCTAATCATTTTATCGTGTTTTTTAGTTCATTTCAGTTACTTGCTTTTAAATTATTTTCTTTCTGTGATAAGCATAAGAATATTCAATAGTGCGTTGTGTAAATTGACCTTGAAATAGCACTAAGATATGAGCATGCCGGATTAACATTAGTTCTTCCAGTACAGAATAAGAAAATAATACTGGACACTAGCTAAGAGTTATGACGGATAATATGCGTTCTAGATGATCTCGTATGACAAATGGTAAATCAGAAATGTGCGAAATTTTCAATAAATATAGATTATACGTCCAGGAAAAACAGTCTAGCTAAGCTACGATTTTCTGACATGATGTGATAACTAGGAAACTGGCAGAAAAGTTTGATAACTCTACGTTAATTAATGGAGCCGTGTTACAAAGAGTGCATTTGAAATGCCACTTGATCTGGCAGTGTTTTGAGTCTTAAAATTGCGTTTGAGCTGAGAATAGCTACAATTTTATTAGACTTTTTTTTGTTTTCAAGAAATCAACTAACAATATGAACATATAGTGTTTGCTATTTTTGTAATCTTGGATCCCAACATATATTAAAACAAACACTTATCCGAAAATAAGTCAGACGCTGTTGTTGTTTGTAATTAAGCACAAAACTACACAATGGGCTATCTGTGCTCTGCCCACCACGGGTATCGAAACTAGGATTCTAGCGTTGTATGTTCGCAGACATACCGCTGTGCCACTGGGAGGGGGTTCGAAACCCGGATTCTAGCATTGTAAGTTCGCAGTCATACCGCTGTGCCACTGGGAGAGGGTTCGAAACCCGAATTCTAGCGTTGTAAGTCCGCAGACATACCGCTGTGCCACTGGGAGGGGGTTCGAAACCCAGATTCTAGCGTTGTAAGTCCACAGACATACCGCTGTGCCACTCAGTATTTAAACAGAGAAATATAACAAGCACAAATAATCAACACTAAAATATCAAACAGTTCTTACGATTCTAAGGTTACAGAATAGTTAAAGTACTTAATCTAGATGTCTTTATGGCTTTAAATCAAATCCAAATGTTAGGGGTTGATACAGCCTTAAGCCTGCAATGAGCGTTTCTATACAAATAATCAACACTAAAATATCAAACAGTTCTTACGATTCTAAGGTTACAGAATAGGTAAAGTACTTAATCTAGATGTCTTTATGGACTAAAATATCAAACAGTTCTTACGATTCTAAGGTTACAGAATAGTTAAAGTACTTAATCTAGATGTCTTTATGGACTAAAATA